GAGGTGTCTACTCATCAGCGTCTCTAGAACTGGCCAATCTTCCAAGCCATTAGCCAGGGCCTCTAATTAATGCTAAGCTGCCCAGTTCTGTGGAAGCTCCATGTTTGGGAGGGACCCAGGCTGCCCTGACATCCCACGATGGGTGACCTTGGGAGGAGCCTAGGGCCAGGTCCCCACAACACTGTCCTCTCTGGGTGTCCAGGATCTTTCTCAAGCACTTCCGTCTCCTTTCTTTCTTTTTAAAATCACATTTTATTTGTTTGTCTTGCATCTTTGCCTGCTGAGCCATCTGCCAGCCCTACTTCCTTTTCTTCAGCTCACCCCATATCTTCATCTTCTCTATGTCCTGGTATTTCTTTCTCATCAGATGCTCAGGTCCCTGTGGTTAAGCATGGTAGTCTTAGTCAGAAGACATCGTGGGGTCGCCTGGGATAACACTCCACTCTCTGTCAGCACCAGGACAACCCATGCCCCAGAGCTGTCTGGGACCAGGGGAGCTGCACTTGGGGTGTTGGCTCCTGGGACCCTGTTCATCCTCTCTCTCCTAGAGCTGGGAGGTCCTCCTATCTGTCTGCCCCTTGCTCTAACCTCTGCCTGCTGGAGCCTGAGAGGGAGCCGCCATCTCCACCAAGCCACGGATGTTGAAGGCGTATGTCCTTGCTGAACTGTGTTTTACTGTTGGAGGTTTTGAGGCCAGCAACCCCACCAAACATATCTCCTGCACCCCCAGAGTGGCTCCCACTGTTTTCATTTCCCAGCCTGCCTTCTCAGGAGCCCCAAAGTACTCTTCTCTATTCTACATGGCTCTGGAGGGATGGCCATGGAACGCACCTTCCCAGGGCCCAGAAATGTCATGTGTAGTTGGCCTAGCCAATCATAACACAGCCCCAAATCTGTAGCATAAACTGAGTGAATTAGTCTTTTACTTGTCTTTAATCTAGGACTTCTCAGGGGTGCAAACTGAGGCTGTGGAGGGCAGCTAGTGTATGAGCGTCCCCAACACACACCCAGCCCCTGCACTGCTGCAGTAAGGAGGATGCGATCCCCCTAAAAGCAGGTTTCGAGGTGGTCGGGACTGTGAGATGAGAGGCAGGCGGTGGCAGGGTTGGGACGGGGCACCAAAGTCACTGAGGTCCTGTGTCATGGGTGTCACCCCAGACTGTGACCTTCCTCTCCCTGGAAAGGCCAGAGCTCAGCAAGTGAAGAGCTCTACCACCTCCTCTATCCCCAGAGCTGTGCTGTGGCTGTGTTGCTTTCCCAGCTACAGTGGAGTCCCACTGTCCCCCACCTGCACAGCGATAGGGGTGAGCAGCAGCCCTGATGACCTCAGGGGCCATGCCAATCCCACTACTCTTTGGCAGAGGCCCAGGACACGACTGACTGCAAACAAGTCTGGCTGCTCAAGTGCCTCCTCTAACAGCTCCGGAGCCAGGGGTGGTATCTGAAACACTAAGTGCCCAGCTTTGGGTCCAAGAACAGAAAGCGCCCGTTAATATGAGGGAGGCTAAGGGCACGGGCGAGCATCCTGCCTCACACAGCCTCTGCCAACGCATGCACAGCACCTCTTAGATCAGAGCATGTGCAGCCCCTCTTAGACCAGAGCATGTGCAGCACCTCTTAGACCAGAGCAGCATGCGCAGCACCTCTTAGACCAGAGCATGAGGTCCCAGAATGCTTCAGGCCAGGGTCAGCTTGACTTGGTCTCCTTTTCTTATCTCCTACCTCGGTATGGACAACTCAGGAGTGACAGGACCTCACAAGAAATGTCCTGACAAGGGTGACCAGGGTAGTGCTCCAAAAATCAGAGAGAAGCAGAGGCAGGCGCTTCCTGACTCCGGCCTTCAGATCTCCAGAGTCCCTCAAGCGTCAGTGTGTGCACAATGGATACCAAGGCCCGGGTGGGAGTGGGGGGCTTGTTCTGTGACCCATAGCAAAGCCAGCTGAGAACTGTCACCCACTCTGTCCAGCTGAAAGTGAAGGTAGGTGCCATCAGAGGAGTGTGGGAGCTAGGGCTTTCCTGGGATGCTGGCTGGTGCAAATGGGGAGAGAACAGCTGTAGATGAATGCCCTTGGCTTCTTGGGAAAGGTGGATGGTGGGGAAGCAGGGTAGGCATGGGAATGCAGAGTGAACGATGAGCTCAGTGCAGTTCTGGAATGCAGGATGGAGGTCACCATGTGACTCTGAGTGTGTTGGAGGTATACCATGAAGGTGTGTGTTTGAGTAAGGATGTGTGTATATGAAGGAAAATACACATGGAATGGGTGCTGATAAAGGTGTATGTGGTGGGCTGGAGAGATGGCTCAGAGGTTAGGAGCATTGCCTGCTCTTCCAAAGGTCCTGAGTTCAATTCCCAGCAACCACATGGTGGCTCACAACCGCCTGTAATGGGGTCTGGTGCCCTCTTCTGGCCTACAGGCATACACAAGGACAGAATATTGTATACATAATGAATAAATAAATATTTAAAAAAAAACCAAAAAAAGGTGTATGTGTGTTGAGGGGTGTTCCTTGAAGGTGTGTGTGTGTGTGTGTGTGTGTGTGTGTGTGGTGCGCACGCGCACATGTGTTTAGAGTTTGCACATGAATGGAAGTTTCTGTAGAGATGTGTGTGTGTTAAGTAAAGGGTGTGCACACGAAAGTGTGTGATCATGTGTGTGTACACACATGCCTGAAGAAATGTGTATAGAGAAATGAGTATGCACATGAAGTTGAGTGTGTGTGCGCGTGTGTGTGTGCGTGTGTGCTGAGCCTGGCTAGATCTTTCCTGTGTCCTGCCTGCCCCCACCCTGCTCAACTCTTGGGATTCAGCCACTATCCTAAAGAAAACAGCCTGGAGCCTGCAACAGGAAGTCAATGTTTGGACTGCAGAGGTGCCTCTTCCTGCCACCGCCAGCAGTCTATGAGCAGAGAGGGAGGCCAGCAGGGCTTCCTGCCCACCTGGGCTGATGCTGAATTGGTCAGGAGCCCTGCATCCTTTATCCTGGATTTTCTGACCACCTCCCAACCCCCAGACTGAGGGAGCTATGAGGCTGCCACCCCACAAGTCTCCTCCCATGAAAGCGTTCAGGACAGCGGAGATGGGGACAACCTGAGGACCTGTGAATGGGGGTTGTCGACATTCACAGAGGCCCACTGGGGGCCCTGCCTGTGCCACAGACACTCATGTGCCCAGGGATGCACTTGCAGACTGTCTGAGGCACGCTCCCACTGTACTGCTGGCTTGTAACCTGTCTCTTACACCAACCTTTCATTTTCTGGAACCTTCTTCAGAGGGAGTACAGTTATGTAAACGGGTGTGTTCATGGCTGCTGAGAATGGACAAGAATAAAACCAAGTCACCCGTCCACTGGCACTCGGTGGCTCTGCCTCGCTTACTGAGGTCACTGAGAGGGTCAAATTGCGTTCACATTTTTTTGTGGTTGTTGTCGAAAAACAACAACAAAAGAAACTGCACAGGGCGCACACTTTAATCCCAGAGGCAGGTGGACCTTTGTGAGTTCAAGGCCAGCCTGGTCTACAGAGTGAACTCCAGGCCAGCCAGGGCTACAGAGAAAGACCCTGTCTCAAACAAACAAACAAACAACCAGAGCGTATAAGATCCAGGTTGGACTCTTGAACCTTGGACAAGCACAATAACTAAATAAAAATTGTAAACAAATGAATATAGACAAATTAATAACACCAGGGGCCTTGCACTTTCTCTTAGCACGATGGTGACTCCAGGCTGGTCCTGTCTTTTCCTAAATTTCTAGCGTGGTGTTAGAATCCAGAAAGCAGGCAAAGTAAGGTCTGCGGCCTGGGCCTGTCAGGCAGGAGTCCCCTTAGGGCCTGTCACAACCTTCTGCTACGAAGGGAAGCCCACGGCTGCTCCATAATATTTCTGGAGAGAGTCTGGGGTGCCAATGGCCCTTCTGAGTGTCCTTCCTTCCAGCCATTGAGATGGAAGCAGCACCCACACATACCTGAGTGTCTCCTCAGCCACGTCTCTTACCCAGACCCCCAGGTCCCTGTCATGTGGCCTGATCCTGATTGCTGTGGGCCTATGTACCCCAGTGCAGGGATACCCAGGTCTGTCTCTGATGGCCATATACTACTTTTTGCCTGAATGGGTCACTGGACCCATGACCTCCAAGGTTCCTGTGGTCCTGACAAAGGCTTCCTTCTCTTCCAGTCTCTGACACCTGGGGAATAGGACTTGAGCCAGGGAATATGTCCCTTGCTCAGGCCTCATCTGCCCCCAATCCCCAGAGTCCCAGCTTCAAGTCAGGGTGAGGCCCGGGGTCACCCCTTCCAAGGCACCCTTCAGCAGTTGACACAGGATCAGCCTGACCCTTGGAGCAGCTCCATCAGGAAGCTTGGAGAAGCTGCCCCCAGCAGGAGTTAATTAATCAAAGCTGGATGCATCTGTTGTTAATTACACCGTGCCAAGGACCTATCAGTTGGCGGGCATTGGGAACAGCGGTGAGGACCTGACCTATCCTCCTTCCTTGTGGAAAGTGAAGTCATGAGCCAAGGAGAATGGTGTGTGCCACAGGGTCTGTGTGCGCTAGCACGCATGTGTTCCACAGGGTCTGTGTGTGCTAGCACGCGTGTGTGCCACAGGGCAACCTCAGGGCCAGCTCTCGCCTTCTCTCTCATTGGAAACAGTTTCTTCTTCTCAGAGATTCTCTCGGCCTCCATCTTGCTGAGGGGGTTCTGGGATGGCAGACACAGGTTTCTAGAGCCATCTTTTATGTGGACTCTGGGGACTCAAAGCCAATTTCTCATGCTTTTGTGGCAGCGTTTTGCCTATGAGCCCATCCGGGACCGCATATCAGGTCCTGGCAGGGAATACTGCTTTTCAGCAGTTACGCCCTTACATTTTGTCACAGGTCCCAAGGAAAGAGGAGACAGAACAGACAAACATCTTTATTTACAGCAACGAATAGCACAGACCCTCCCTCTGCCCACCCCAGCTTCCAGTCTTACTATGCCCTGTCCCACCCAACCCCACCCCAAGCCTCTTGGGTCACTGTACGGATCAGGCTCCTATAAGAGCCCAGCAAAGGAGCTGGGGAGGAGGGTAAGGGCTGACGTGGGCCGGGCAGGTGTCTTTTCACATTTTCTGTCTTCCGAGCTGGGGTAGCCGAGGGAGGCGGACACCTGGAGCAGAGGTAGAGAAGGACAGAGGCCTCCCATTCCTGCCCCTCCTCTGCGTTCACAGTGTTCGGAGTCCTGGGAGCTAACTGGTCCTGTCTTACCAGGTTCTAGACACCACGTCACCCACCGAGGAGAGCAGGCTTGTCGGTAACGGACCTGTTCTGCGGCTGAGATGGCTCCTCTGGCCATCCCACCTTCTCACATCTGGGCTGGGATTCTGAGGGGGCCCTGGGGTCAGGGGAGGTGTCAAGCTTCGTGTGTCAGCTCTGGGGCTGCTCTGTGGCATCAGGACGAGAAGCAGAGTCCACAGCATTCCATGCAGATCTCCAGGCAGTCTGCCGACTCGCAGCAGGCATCCACAATGCCACAGTCCAGATCGCAGGGCAGGTCGCAGTCCGCGCACTCGCCGGAGCCGCAGCAGCAGCAGCAGAGGCAGGAGTCCTCGGAGCTGCAGGAACCGCACGTGGCACAGTCCAGGACGATGTTGCAGAGTGTCAGGAACTCACAGAACAGACAGGACAGGATGCAGTGGACGCAGCAGTCTGTGGGCGGGGGCAGGCGAGTCAGAGACAGGAGCAAGGGAGCCCCCGTCACAACAGTCCAGTTTCACCTAGTGTCTATAGCCCCCATCGCCCCGAAAAGCAAATGGAGCTAGTGGGGGGATACCCAGTTTCTTTATAGGCACAGGAGGTGAGTAAACCAGAGTGGAACTGAAGGGAGCACAGCCAGTCTGCATTGGGAGTCCTTTTTTTTGGGGGGGGGGGAGTATTTCGAGACAGGATTTCTCTGTTGCTTTGGAGCCTGTCCTAGAACTCGCTCTGTAGACCAGGCTGGCCTTGAACTAACAGAGATCCACCTGTCTCTGCCTCCCGAATGCTGGGATTAAAAGTGTGCACCACCACCACTCTGAATCTCTGCCTTAACTGCGCTCTGATTATGTATTTAACCAAGTGGGTGAAGAGGTGTCCCAGGCACCAGTATAAGTGCGGTGTAGGAAGGACACTCGCCTAAGCCTCCTGTAACAACTCTACGATGTGGGCTGTAATTAGCCCCATTCTACAGATGAAGAAACTGAGGCACAGAGATTAGCCATTTAAAGATGTAGCCAAAGGGTTGGGATTTGGCTCAGTTAATAGAGTGGTTGCTTAGCATGCAGGAGGCCCTGGGTTCAATCCCCAGCACTGTAGAAACTGTGTGCATATGCAATTCCAGTGTTTGGGATACAGAAGCAGGAGGATCAGCAGTTCAAGATCATCCTCAGATACTTGGTGAGTTGGAGGTCACTCTGAGCTACATGAAACCCTGTCTCAAAAAATGAAACAAATAAACAACAATATACTACTCTGTCGTTGGTTACACCTCACCAATCTGCTGTGTGTCCCAGAGCCAGGACAAAAACCAAACAAACAAAAACAAGCAACAAGAACTAAAAACAGAGGCTGCGTCAGATCCTGCCGTGCTCAGAGCTACCACAGACACCCTCAAGGGGGAGAAGCTGAGGTTCCAGGTGGGCCTCAGGCCTGGTGAGCTGTCTCTCCTGACTGCACCTTCTCCTCTGCTCTTTCCGTGCTGATCTTCTGCTGAAACTCAGGCGAAGCACGGCCGAGTGGTACCTCTCTCTCTGCCTGGAATAGTCTCACTCCTTTCTTTCCCTACTTCTCCAAATGCCATCTCCAGCAGGCTCCCCTGGAGGAGCAGAACTCTCCAGAACTCTCCTCACCCTGGCACACCCCGCTCACCGCCCTCCTGCATTCTTCTGACTTCCTAGCTCTGTCGTGGGCCACTGCACAACAGGCTTTACGTAGATGGTCACCTCACCCTTGCCAGGTGGTGGTGGTTTGAAAGAAAATGACCCCTGACTGGAGCGGCACTGTTAGGAGGTGTGGCCTTCTTGGAGGAAGTGTGTCACTGTGGGGGTGGGCTTTGGGGTCTCTTGTTCAAGCTTCCTTCAGTGGGGCTCAGTCAACTTTCCGTTCCCTGCAAGACTAGCACTCCTGACTCTCACACCACATCTGCCTGCTCGCTGCCATGCTCCCCTTCGTGATCATAATGGACTGAACCTCTGAAACTGTCAGCGAGCCCCCCTCAATTAAATGTTTTCTTTATAAGCACTGTCGTGGTCATGATGTCTCCTTCCAGCAATAGTAAACCCTAAGTAGACACAGCTGCTGCCAGGGCAGTCACCTTGGTCTGTTATGGTCACAGATATGTCCCAGTCCACAGAATGCTTCTCTCCTAAGGGCACGCACACGGTCCTGTCTGTGTGTACAAACTGTAGCCGTGCACGGCTGTAATCCCAGCTCACTGTAATCCCAGCTCCCGGCAGGCACAGGCAAGAGGATCAGGAGTTCAAGGTCATCGTCGGCCACAGAGAATCTGAGGCCAGCTTGGACCACACAAAGTGAACACAGTAAGCCCTTATTTGACTGGTGGGCTGAGCCCTCACTGCAGAGTGCTGGACAGTAAGCCCTCCTGAGGGCCAGGCCAGGGGAACCAGAGCTGCACTTTGCTGACTAACACTGTCCAGCACCCTGTGTGGCAGCCCTGTCTTCTATGCCCCAAATGGATCCAGTAGCTCTCTTCAACTCCAGATGTGTTAAATCTGCTGTATTTAAGACTCAGTCCATCTCAACTGTCCCCGTGTGTCAGTAGGTCATCTTTGCGTCCCTCAACATAGTTGGCATAGTTGATAAAAACCTTTCCAGAGTCCCTGCCTCCTGGAGTCTCAGTCAACCTGCCAAATGCCAAACACACCTACTACAGATCACTTCTGAGTTCCCTATCTCGGACTCTGTGCTGGTGTGGCTGTTTCCACGCTAATAAAGCCTCTGTAGTGGGCTTGTCACATGGATAACGACCCCATGTGTGCCCTATCCACAAGAGCCCAATGAGGGCATGGGCTAGGTACCTAGCATGTAGCAGGTGCCCAGAATGCACAGCTATTAATATTATTTATTTTCTTGCACCCCTGGGAGTTGAACCCAGGGCCCTGAGCATGCTAGACAAGTGCTCTATCACCTAGACACTTCTCTCCATCCTCCCCAGGGTAAGTCAGCTAAGCGAATGACTGTCTGTCATAAATACTTTGGGCAGAATCTGCCCCAAGGGGTGAGAAGGTTTCAGAATGCCTTACTTAACAAATTCAGGGATGGTGGGGTGGGCAGGGCCCTCCCTAGAAAGCTGGCTCAGTGGTTTAGAGCATTTGCAGTTCTTGCAGAGGGCTTGGGTTTGATTCCATCCAGTTCGGTTCTTATAGCTTCTACATGATGGCGCTCAACCATTTGTAATTCCAGTTCCAGGGCTTGGACAGCCTCTCCGGCCTCTGAGGGCACCAGGCACACACATGGTGCACACACACATGTGCAGGCAAAACTCTCATACACAAAAATAAATACATCTTTCTTTCTTTTCTTTTTTGGTTTTTCGAGACAGGGTTTCTCTGTAGCTTTGGAGCCTGTCTTGGAACTAGCTCTTGTAGACCAGGCTGGCCTCCAACTCACAGAGATCTGCCTGCCTCTGCCTCCCAAGTTAAAATAAATAAATCTTAAAAGCAACAGCAATAAATGCACACATTGAATCCTGCTTGCAGGGGGCCAGGCCAGGGTCCCCCGACATGAGCAGGGCTGCGATCAGGTAGTTCCTGAACTACAGATGACGGCCCCACGATACTCGATGGGGCAAGCAGATGACTGCCGGCTGTGATGTCGGAGCAGAAGGCAGCTGGGTGTCTGGTCTGAGAAGTTCTGGCATCCCCTGCGGAATCTTGTGTCCCCTACCCCCCATCGCTCAGCATCATTTTACGCTCTACGTTTGCTTTGATTAAACAGATGGTCCACTCCTAAAGGAATTTTTTTTTTTTCATTTTCTCTGGTGTTGGGGATGGAAAGTGGGGTCACAAGCCCCTGGCGGAAATTTTCTGATTCTGGTGTAAACTGGATCAGCCCAGATGGCCACAGTCCTTGTTAGGGTAAGCCTGAGGGAGCCGGTCTGGGACTGAGGTCACTTCACCGCCCCGTGTGCTTCTCAAGGTGCACGAAGTTCAACAGGGCACCAAGGGCTCCTCAGAGCCAGGCTCTCGCACTCTCGTATCAGCCTTCCCCGCGGCTTCTGCCCAGCCTCTAGCTGTTTGCGCCCCATAGATGATTCCCCGGAGGCTGGAGGTCTCCCTTTCTAAACACAAACCCCACAACCATGTGGAGGTAGGAGGATACCTTGCAGGAGTTAGCAAGTCCCTGAGAGCTGGATGGTAGGGGTGTGAGCCACTACACCTGGTTTATTGCCGCTTGAGACAAGATCTAGTTACAAAGCCCAGGACGGCCTTGATCCTCCTGCCTCAGGAGCCAATAGGCAGGAGGCACTGAGTCCAACCGAGCTGCGAGCACAACTCAACCTGCAGCCGCGTCTGCGGGACGGCAGGGGTCTTACCTTCCTGTGCCTGGAGGGGGACCTGGGAAGTTGACCGAGTGCTGCCTTTGCTCTTCCTCCCAGTTTGGCTGCCCAGAGATGGGTGTGTCTGCAACTTCCGGTGGGCCTTGGGGCCTCCCGGGGCACCGTTCCCCGCATGCCCAGCACTGCCCAGTTCTGAGGAGTGGCTATGGTCGGAGCCGTTTGGCAGTAGTGGGGTGCAGCCTAAGGGGTTCCCCTGAGGCTGGCCTGGGGAAATGAAGAGAAGAGGTGGTGACGAAAGGGAGGGTCACCCTCTGATGATCAGTCTGAACCCTACCAGTTCACTTTTAGTTTCACCTCTGGCAGCGAAGGCAGATTTGTGTCCTTTACATGGAGAAACTGAGGCCTGGAAAGCAGAAATGACTAGCCAACAGGGACATCATGGAACAGTCACAGCCTGGGGTTCAGTTTCAACTCCCATGGCAGTGCTCATTCTGGAAAAACAAAAACTAAAACCAAAGGTACAAAGCAGGGGTACCTGCACCCCATTTTCTTACTCCACATGAACTCTGTCCTCTTGTTGTAGGCTCTAGGACCTGGGCTAGACTGGTAGGGTGGAGGAGACAAGGTCAGCTGGGGTTGCCGACAATGGCAGTGAATCAGTTAACCTTCACCTTGCCTTCTGCCAAACCCCCAGCTGTTTTCACCCTCGGTGCTGCTGGTGACTTATTGGGAACATCTGTTTGGAGACTGCATGCTTGGCTCTGGATTGAGGGCCCCTCGTAGCAGCCCCTTTATCTTCTGCTTCTTGCCCTCAGCTCTGCATAGTCCCGCCCTGCTCTGCTACTGTGGGCAGAAAGGACTGAGCGGCTCCTGGTCTGGGTGACAGGGGTGGGGGCGGGACCGGTCGGGAGGGAGAACTGGTAGGGAGCGCCTTCCAAAGGCCATGTGCCCTCCTAAACTAAGCAATCAGTTTTAGAAGCTGAGCCTGGTGATGCCCCAAGCCCTCAGCGGCTTTCTAGATCTCCTTCAGAGGATGCTCAACTGAGCGGCTTGGCACGAGTCTCAGAGAGTGAGGGGACCTGTGTTAGGCTGGTAGGGGAGGTAAGAAGGGGTCACACGAGGTCTGGGCCCTGGCTGCTGAATGCTTTCTGCAAACATGGGGTGCTTCCATTCCCTCAGCAGGACCCTAGTCCTCACTTCTCCAGCAGACTTGGGGATTTACATTCTACAGGGGGGAGATACGAGGAGGCCCTCGGTGCTCAGGAGAGAGGAAGGTGGCCTCAGTGCTGGACTCTGGGGGCTGGATGCTCATGTGCCAGTCAGTCATGGTTCCTTTGAACACTCACTGTGTGCCAACCAGTTGCTGCCCCTTGAACACTGTGTGTGCTGGCCAGTTGTCCCCAGTACTTGCTGGTTATTTTCTAATGGAATCTTCTTTATAACCGCCCCCCGTCCCCATCTTTGAGACTTTTGTAGCCAAAGCTGGACTCAAACTGGTTATGTAGCTGACGATGACCTTGCATAAGAGTTCAAGTCCCTCATTCTCCTGTCTTGACTTCCAACGTGCTGGGATTACTGGTGTAGACCACTGTGCCTCAGGACAGAGGCAAAGGATGGGGGCAAAGGCTGGGGACTGAGGAACTGGGAAACAAGCTGTTACATCCACACAGTCACTTCCTAGAGCAGCAGCTAGTTAACATGCTCTGAGTGGGTATCGGTGTGCAAGACCGTGTGCCAGAGTAATGTCTTTAAACATTGTAAGCCATCTATTATTGGTACATTTCTCAGATGAAAAAACTCGAGGACCAGCTGGTATAACTCACAAGAGATCCCACAGCTAGGAAGCGGAGAGAGGAGGCTGGGAGGATAACACCATGACAAGGTGGGAAGCAGAGGTGCCAGGTTGGGGCAAGGCATGGCTGGGGCCTGCACCTGGTAAACAGGAGCAAAGCCACGGGAGTGGCTAGGCCTGAATCATCCTGGCTCCAGAGAAGACTGGCTGAGCCTTTGGCCAGTGTCACTGTCCCTTGCCCTGCTGCCTAAACATGGGTTCAGTGGCCAGAGGGAGGGAGTCTGTGGTGAGCCTAGGGCCCTGGGAGGCTCTGCAGACACAAAGCTCGCCTGTGGCCTCGGCTGTGGGGTGGCCAAGGGGTGGGGGTGGTGTTGAGTCACAGTGCAAACACTCAAAGCCATAGACACAGGGGTGTCTGTCCCACTCTCGCCTGGGCCCCCTCCCTGTGGCCACGGCCATGACCTCCTTGTCTCGTGTGTGTGTGTGTGTGTGTGTGTGTGTGCATGTATGCATGTGTGTGTGTGTGTGTGTGTGTGTGTGTGTGTGTAGAAGGCTGCTTCCAGGCTGTCCAGTTTGGCCCCAGATGCCCTCGTTAGAAGTGCAGGAGGCACATTATTTATGCCAACACAGCAGGTGGGCACAGCAGAATGAGGCCAGAAGATTGAGTGCTAGGCTTGTGTCCTGGTCTGGTCTGGGTCTGTGCCTCAGTTTCCTCATCTAGAGAATAGGCTTGACAAGAGCTGTGGTGATGTCTCTCTACGAAAGTACTTGAAGTCATTCAAAGACAGAAAATCCGCTTTGAGACACTATCATGGAAGGCAGTAGATGCTTATTACAAAAATGACCCGGGTAGCCCTTGTCCAGCCCCTAGGGCACTGTGAAGACCTCCAAACAGGCCTGGTAAAGAAGATGAACTTTGTTCCGTCCTCCCCAGAGCATCTGGGTGCTCCCCTCTTTCCTCTGCACCCAGGTCCAGTCCTGAAGGGTACACTGCCCTGCCCAGCACACCAGTTCTCTCTCTCAGAGGCAAAGGATGCCTCTTGCCCTGCAAGCTCAAGCTGGGTTTCCAGGAGCTTGGCCTCTTACAAGGTAGAGGTGGAGAAGCTGCTGCACTGTATCCCGACGCCACTCCGTGGTTGGATTTCCTCGGGCAGCCCTGCATGTTGCCACCCCAAACTGTAGCCCCTTGTACTCACATGTCACAGCTTCTGTGTGAACATCGAGGTCAGTGCTGTTCAGAGCCTGGTGAGCCCCAGGACCACTGTCTTGGGGCATGCAGGGTACCACCTCCTCTGGGGAGCCCTCTTCTGATGATGTGTCTGCAGGGTGAGTGGATCCTGCTGCTACCTCCAGCCCAGGGAGGAGGGACATGGTCTGGGCTAGTGAAAAAGCAGACGATGAAGGCTTGTTTCCCTGGCATCTTTCTGTGTGCCCAGGCCCAGGTCTGACCTCCAGGCCAGAGCCCTCAATGAACTCCTTACTTCTGGTCCCTTCATGAGTCAGTCAGCTATCACCTTATCTGGCTGCGGTGTTTGACTTCCAAATGAAGGTTTCTGAATCATAGCTCATATGTGTGCATGTAAGTGTTCCTGGGTGAGTACATGCATGTGGCATCAGGAGGGAGAGGAGAGGCACATGGTGCAGGAGAAAACAGACAAGCTGTCCAGCAGCGGAGCCAGAGAGACAGTTATGGGGACTGACGGGCACTACAAGGCAGATGCCAGGGAAAGGGAGTTCAGGAGATTGGGTGGGGACGGCTGAGATCTAGTGACAGGTTGTCTGGGACCAACAGCAAAGTCAGCCACGAGGAAGAAAGACAAAGACTAGACAGGGCCTGGACAGACCAGGGCAAGAAGCTGCTCAGACAGGAAGAGGGCAGATGCGGAGAAATTGGGTCAGAGAGGGGATGCTGGCATGGGAGAGGAGAGAGAGAGAGTAACCTGGGGGTGAGGAGCAGGGAGGGGCCCCAGGCAGGAAGAGAGGCCAGGAGCAGCCTGGAGCGCTGGGGAAGAGGTGAACCACAGTCCCGTGTAATTAGAGTGACTCTGGGCAGGGTGGGCGGAATGAGGGAACGAGGCCACCTTCAAACCACAGCGCCCTTGGCAGCAGGACTAGAGCCCCTTGGGCTCCCAGGAAGGGATGGGGATGCGCAGTGTCTGAGAACCCACAGCTTTAGCCTCTGGGTAAGGCAGGGGCCACAGGGGTAAAGTCCAAGTTCTGACAATTTTGGCTGTGCTATGCAGTGGGACAGCAGTGGTCTCAGAGCATGGTTCTCTACCTGTGTCTCCCTCATAGTTCCCATGCTGGGAGAAAGAAGAAATAGAAGCAGGAGACTCTGAGAGAGGCAGATGCCAAAGGGCAGGGCTCTGGGGAGGGAGGCAACACAGATGGGGGGGGGGAGAAAACAGCAGAGATGGGGAGGGAGGGTTCACAGATGGGGGCGAGAGTGGGGAGAAAACAGCAGAGATGGGGAGGGAGGCTACACAGATGGGGGAAGGGGGAAAACAGCAGAGATGGGGAGGGAGGGTTCACAGATGGGGGGAGGGGGGAGAAAACAGCAGAGAAGGGGAGGGAGGCTACACAGATGGGGGAAGGGGGAAAACAGCAGAGATGGGGAGGGAGGGTTCACAGATGGGGGCAAGACGGGGGAGAAAACAGCAGAGATGTCCAAAGATAAGAGATCAGAATCCGATCCACCCTGTGCACACCAGAAAGGGATGGAGACAAAGGAAGGTCCTGCCAATGGAAATGGGTTCCATTACAGAGAACAGAGACGAGCTTCCACAGATGTCCTCTGAGCTGTCTTCAGATGACAGCCATAGAGGGAGATAAACAGAGCTGTCCATGGAGATGTGGGCCCTTGGATCTGGGAATCAAAAGCTGGAGGTAGGCCTAGGTGTGCTCCCGTGTCCAGCCACCTCACTGGCTGCTGAGCCCGAGACCCAGTTAACAGCCCCTAGTTCCTCTTGGCCATGCACACAAATCCCAGAGGCCTACTGGGTAGCACAGACACTGCAGACCCAAGTAGGCATGCTTCTGCCTGCCCAGGGCAAACCACAGGCCTCATCACAGATAGGAGCTGGGGCAGAGAGTAGGAGGTGCAGGGGCCCAGGAAGCTTCTGCGTTAGGTCCCAGCTCAAAGCTGCAGCCGGGTATTTATAAGGGTTGGCGAGGAAGAGGACTGGACGAGCACTCAGTTAAAGCATTTGTTTGACATGAAAATAACAACCCTGGTTGCTATTCCCAGCACTGCCAAAAACCCAAAACCCCAAAACAAAAACAAACAATGATAGCTCTTTCACCCTGTGAGTGGTACCAATGGGGTGTGGTATCACTTACCTATAATCCCAACATTGGGTGGTGGAGGCCAGAGGTTCAAAAGTTCAAGGCCAGCCTTGGTTACAAAGCAAGTTCAAGGCCAGTCTGGGCCTCAGGAGAGACCAACTCTTAAAAAAAAGTTTTAAAGCCAGGTGGCGGCACACACCTTTAATCCCCAGCACTCTGTGAGTTCAAGACCAGCCTGGTCTACAGAGTGAGTTGCAGGACAGCCAGGGCTCTCCTCACAGGTTTACACTGAGAAACCTTATCCCAACAAACAAAAATAACAACAGAAAACAAATTTTAAAAGTCTATAGGAGTGTGTGTGTGTGTGTGCACACGCGTGTGCATTGTCAGTAGGTACTCTGGAGAAGGCAGTAGCCTTCTTCGTGGGGGAGGGGTGTTTGAGAAGAGCAATGGGACCAAGACCCCAGAACCACAGTTCGGTGGGAATGAGGGAGCGCACGCTGTTTGATGCTTCTGAGGTTGGGAGCCTGCAACAGCAGCTGGTCATTAAAGGCCCTTGGCTTCCCAGACTTTCTCCTGAGGTCACAGAGTGCGCAGTCCTGTATAGACAGAGCCAAGATTCCTGCTTTTTTGCCCCCCAGGGCTTGAGAAGGAGAAAGACAATAAAGAGGGTTTAAGGCCATGGGAGTCCCCGGCTGTCCTTTCACCTAGGTATCTCTCCTCATAGTCACTACACGGCTGGTGACCAGGATGGAACAAAAGCTTTTAGAGAGACCAGACCATGGCCTGAGGGACACAGAGGGGCAGACCTCCTGAAGCTAGGAAGGTCACAGTGGGGGCAGAGGAGGGAGACAGGCCAGCAGAACAGGGAGGAAAGGGTGGAGTCAGGAAGACTGCTCTGGAGATGCTGCCCCAGAGGACCTGGGCCCCAGGACGCAGCTGGGACAGAAGAGCCAGGGCACACGTGGGCTGAAGACTCCCAGACTGAGAGGCTAAAGAGCCCAGTTTTCCCTCTGTGACCAAAAGACTCCTCATCCTGCATGGAGAAGAGAGAGAGCATCTTGAAGGAGACTCTCCTGACGTGTGTGTGTGTGTGTGTGTGCGCGCGCGCGCGCGCGCGCGCGCGCGCGCGGAGCGTAGAGGAGAGGTGTGGCTGGGAGAGGCCTGACATCTAAGCCACCTATCTGACCAGAGTGACATCACTATTGATTTACACAGTGAACTCAACATGCTAGTGTCCTGCACCTCTGGGTCCCTTCAACACGTGCTCCCCCTAACACGGGGCGAGGCTCTGGTCTGCATGCCTCTCTAGAAAGAAGTGGAGAGAACTTTCCACATGCTCCACAGGAAAGGTGGGGAGACTCACTCCAGCAGCAGGGACCTCGCGGATTCCCTCTGTCTGTCATCCACCAGATTTGGAGGGGGGGGGGGGGGTTCTTGGCCAGGAAGGAAGAGGAGAACCTCTTCCAGTGGGGATGGGTTCACTTCAAGCCTGGCCAGTTCCCATGTTCTGGAGCTCCAAGTCTGGCCCCCAGCATTGTCTTTGTGGACAGTGGATCTGGGCTCCCTGTACCTTGGGCTATGACTATCTCTGGAGAGAGAAGATCAGGACTTCAGGCCAGAGAGTGGTGGCTGATACCTCCCAGTCACTCTCAGTATGAGTAGATACTCAAGTCCTCTGTCACACATCTTTAGTCAATGGACAAAGGTCTTGTGTTCCAGGCACACTCGCCTGTCCAGGCCCCTGGGCCATCACAACAGCTTCTGGCCAGACTACCTGTGCTTATATAGTTGCTCTTGACTCCTCCCTGGCCAGCCGCAGCCTCATCTCTTCCTCCAGTAAGCCTCCTCTGTCACCTGTGATACCAGCGTGCCCTCTGCACAGTCTGTTACCGACAACTTGGCAACGAAGTGCTAGTTTCTGCTGCAAACTGGCCCCTTGTCCGTCACCTTCCCTGTGGAGGTCTGCATGTTTGTGGTTGAGTGTTGGAGTTCAAAATGGCTCAGGTTTGGGAAGGAGAAAGAGGGGCCACATGAAGGATTATGGGCGACATCTGATTTTGAACCCCACGGAGACCAGAGATGGTGGGCTATTTTGATGTCCAGTTAGCGAGGCCCGCACCATGAAGAGGAGGACTGGGGAGGATGTGAGCTGCTGGCTATGTTCAGTCCAGTAGTTTTATTTTAGGTCCAAGGGCTCCAATTCCCAGGAAATTGAATTTAGAGCCACGGGCAGAAATTCGACGCCCCAGTGCTAGGCAGAAATCTTGTGGCTTAGGGAGCCAGGCTCTTGGGGCTCTCAGGAATGGGTGGGGGAGAGGCCAGAGTGTGAGTACTTGGCCACCTGCCCTAACCACAGCTGCCCTGAGTCCTCTTGTGCCCTGTCTGTATCTTGGAACCCTGAAAGAGGAGGCATGTCACACCCTGGCTGTCCTGCCAGCAGCTTCCACTCTGGGGACAGTGCTGTGGCCTCTCTGTTCTGTGAGCGCACAGGGAGCGTGGAGGGTTCTGGTCTCAGGGTCAGACATCTGTGGGGTTCTGGCTGCATCTTCTGCGGTTTGGGCTTCCTGGGTAGCAGGCAGAACAGTACAGGACAGGACAAGTGTTACAAAAGCCACATTGTCTGGCCCAGTTCAGACTGGGGAGGGGGCTTGCTGGGACACTGGGGCCTCAAATTACAGCCCAGGCCTAAGCCTTCCCGGCAATCCCCCCTGGACTCTGTGGCCTGTCTTGAGCACACATTGCTCCCCTCCTCTTCCATTGGGTGGAGAGCAGGTCAGACAGGGGAGGGGGTTCTTGGAAGGAGATATCGGAGGAGAGAAATACTGAATAAGGGAAGGAAGACAGCATGGAAAAGTGGGGGTGGGAGAAAGGCCAAGAGAGACAGAGACAGTTCCCAGACATGAAGGCCTCCCAGTCCCCAGTTTCCCACTGTCCTTCCAAGCCGAAGAAGCCTGGTCCTTGGAGGAGCATCTTCCCTTGAAGTCTAAGTAATTTTATCAAGAACTCTCCCAGAACAGGGACTTAGGGCTGATGAAGAAAGAGCACACACTATCTCCATTGGTCAGACATCCCTCTCAGGTTTTGGAGGCCCCCACCTCTACAGTTGTGAGGGGCCAGGCCAGGTATACAGGCAGCTGAGACCATTCCCCAAACAGACAAACCAACTAGGGGGTCCAGGCTGGGAGTAGGGTGAGGAGATTGAGGCCAGAGAAGGGGGAAAGAAAGGACTTGTCTGAGACCCTGAGGGAACCTGAGGTCAAGCCTTGGATCTTCATTACTGAGACAGTCTGAGGAAAGGGAGAGTTTGGGTGTGAGGAAAACAGAGCCTCTGGCTGAGCCAGAATAAGGTTTTAAGTCAGAAAATCTGGGCCTACACTTTTGCACCCCGCCCCCTACCCACCCCGACTCTAACGGAATCTGCACCTCCATAGAGGTGCCTTCTGTATAAGATAGTTTTAGCCTTTGAGGACAAGGGACTAGGACGCTAGACTGGGAGGCCCCCACACAGCCTTCTTTAGTCTGTAGGGTCCTGGGAGAATCAGGGCAGTTTAGCCCCTGAGGTGGGGGAAGGGGTATTTCACTACGTTGGTAGGATGTGTATGTGTGCCACGCTGGGTAGGGACTGGGCGGAGGGAACGGCAGCTAGCAAGGAGGGAAGGGGCCAGCTTCGTAGCCACTAGTTGCTGAAACAAAAGTTTGCAGAAAGCGCTCTGCTTAGTTTGGGGGAAGGGAAGAAGAGAGACTCAGACGCCACCCACCCCCCACCCGCTACACACCCCGCCTAAGGCCCTCATAAATATTTACACACTGGGCAGAAATGGTTGAGACACAAATCCCAACATTATGGGCAGACGCACGGCGTGTGTGTGTGTGTGTGTGTGTGTGTGTGTGTGTCTGTCTGTGTGTAGAGCTGGGGCTGGGGGGAGTTGGAGCCAACTCCGCTCAGCCATGGCTGCTCCGGGCCCAGTTTCCTCACCCTAGCCCTCTACTCCTTTCTACTCCCCTTGGACCAGGTCCCCAATACTCAGACTTCTCACCCTCACTCCCATCCAAGCTCCTGGGAGCTATCCGCCTGTGTGTCTGCTAGAGAACTAACAACCCCACTCCCCAAAAAAACCCTGTTAGTTTTCCACCCCACTCCGGTCCATCTTTACTTTCCATTCCTTCTCCTACCTGGGTCCAGGGTAGCGCTGGGGACTCCATGGGGCGCGTCGCACAGAGCAGGGCACTGACCGCTCACCTGGGACATCGGCCCGGGACCTGGAGAAAACAGCGCTCAGCGGGCAGGGCGGGCCTCCCCCGGTTGTGCGTGGGGAACCGGGGACTGACTGGGGGTGCCCTAGCGCAGACTCGTGCAAGCTGTGCTCCCAGGCAGGTCACCGCGTGGACCCCTCCATGAGACACCTGGGTGTCGCCTGCGCCCCCTCCCCGCTCACTCGCTCTTGGCTCCCATTCCAGCGCCAGCTCGCACCCACCTAGCGCCCCTTCCTTCTTCCTTCTCTCTCTCCAGCCCCCTCGCTCCTCCCCTCTTCCCTGGCCCACCCTGTCCCCGCCCCCTCCTCGCTGGCTCGCCCCCCACGCATCCCCTCCCCCGTGCGGGGCTCGGCGCTGCCAGGGCAGGACACGTCTGTCCGCGGGGCGTCCGAGGCCCAAGCCCCCACAGGAAGCCAGCTCGTCTGGTTTCCTCTCCTCGCACAGAGCCAGGGGCTCCAGTCTCCCTAGATCTCCGCCTCCTCAGGCCGGGAGGACCTCGCGGGTTGCACAAGGGGCCGCGTGTTTTTTTCCTTCTATCTTAAACTTTGCAAAAGTTTCCAGACTATCAAAAGAAAGAAGTCACTATCACCCTGGGACAAATGTCTGAATACTACTAGCCCACAAATTGCGTTGTCCGAGGATGAGAGCAACCTAGTTCCTCTGGTGCCTTTGTTCATGTCCTCGATTTCCACTAAGAAGCTGGACGCCTGGAGTTTGGGGATCAGCCCGCCAGAAACTAGACCTCCAGGAAATCCAATTGGTGTCTCATCAGCCTCCCCTATCCCATAGCCAGAAGCATCCCCAGTACCCTGCCATCCCCGCCAGCTGGACGTGGGAATTCGTTTCGGGGGGGGGGTTCTTTGGGCTCCAGGCCGGCACCCCAACTTCAAACACGAGGGTGAGTGTAGAAAGGGGTAAGGAGAGGTCAGTCTGTTGGCTTGACTGGAATTGTAAACTCTGGCTGTGGGGAGGGGTTGTCACCAAGCAGGGTGTGTGTGTGGAAAGGAGGGAGTTCGGAGACCCCCAGAGTGACCCCAGGACCCGATTCCGAGAACTTGTGGGCAGCCAGGTAGGGCTGGACAGGGACCCACACTGATCCTGAGCTGCCTCAAGCCCGGCGTCTGAGTCGGTACCACCAGGGCTAATTAGGGAGGCGGCGGCGCCAGGCCACCTCCTCCCAGCCCGCGTTACAACCGAGGGAAGCTGGGACGCCAGGGATGGACCTTCCCCCCCACGGTCATCTCCCAGCCCTCGAAGTCACTACTTACAGCTCTCCTAGGTCTTCTGGGCGCCGTCGGGGCCAGGACCCGCGTGGCCCCCACGGCGCCCGCAGAATTCTCACCACCCTCGAGCCACGTCCCTGCGATGGACTGGAGGGACGGCTCTGAGAAGGAGGTGGGACGGGAAGGGTCCCACCCTGGATGCCTGGATGCTCGCCGCGGTGGGTGGGGGTCTTGTTTGGTTCCCCAGAGCCCTCCGAGATCAGGCTGCTCTCTGGGTGAGAGCTTGGGTGCACTCCTCCTTCCTGGTACGGGCTGAGTCACCGCGACGCGCCCGCGGCTTGCAGGGCTTGGCGGCTGCTGCATTCTTCCTCGCTTACCTGAGCCGGTAGGCTGGGCCTCATAAGCAGCTCCAGTCTCCCGCTGGATTCAGCACCCTATCTTTAAGTTTTTCTGTTTCAGAACAAGGCCCCTGGAACTAACGCAATCCTTCCTACTGTTTCCCTGTTGGCTGTGGGCTGTGAAAGCCCCCGTCAGAAGTCCCTGCACCGCTGCAGCGCACGCTCATTACACGGGTGTGCTCCCTTTGAGGGCTCAGCATGCCAGGTACATGTGGTGCGTGAACTTTTTCTTGTTGTTGAGGCAGCTTTGATGTAGTCCAGGTTGGCCACAGACTCCCGTGTGACAGTAGTGACGTTGGACTTCATACGCTCGTCTGCTCCTACTTACCAGGGGCTGTGATGACAGGCCACCACAGCCCTCTTATGGGGTCCTAGGGGTGGGTTTCCTGATCGCAGTCAGCACTCCTCCAATCCAGCTACATCCCCACTATGAACTTTTGGGTATGCTACCGTATTTGAATAAGAAGCATTTCAGTGAGGGGGGCGGGTCTAGGTGAGACAGGGTCTCATTATGTAGCCAAGCTGACCTGAACTCCTGATCCCCCAGCTGCGGCGTCCTAAGCATTGGGATTACAGGTGAGCACCACTACGCCTGCCTTCACAGACTTGTTTATTACCATTATATTGTTTTTAAGACAGGGTCTCACTATGTTGCCGTGGCCTGGAACTCATTATGTAGACCAGACTACCTTCAAACACTTGCTTTAGCCAGGTGATGGTGGCGCAGGCCTTTCATCCCAGCACTAAGGGAGGCAGAGGCAGGCGGATCTCTGTGAGTTCGAGGCCAGCCTGGTCTACAGAGTGAGTTCCAGGATAGCCAGAGATACACAGAGAAACCCTGTCTCAGAAGCAAAGTAAAACAAGACAGCTCAAACACTTGCTTTGCCTCCCAAGGGCTGGGATTAAAGGTGTGTGTTCTTCTGACTTGTCCCCTCCGCCATGACCATCTCCTCTGCTTCCTTCAGCCGGTCCCATCTTTATTACATTGATTATATCACCCTCTCTTCTCCAGCCTCCTTCAGACCTTTTCCCTCCCATGGTCCCTTTCCTAGAGTTTCACCCTCTATTCGTACATAGTTATACATACACATGCATGGTCATGCACACATATAATTTGATATATATTACATATACATAGAAACATTTAAATCCTCAATAAGAAGAAACATGCAGATTTGTCTTTCTGAGTCTACTCTATTTTGCTTAACGCAATTTCCAGTTTCATCCATTTTCCCGCAAATATCTGGTTTTGCTTTTCTTCAGGGCTGCCTAGAATTTCATTGCGTATGTGACCCGCGTGCTTTAATCCATTGGTCTGTGGATGAGCCTCGGCTGGTTCTGTTTGCTGCTGTCAGCAGTACAGCAGTGAACGTGAACGTGAACGTGAACGTGCAGGTATCTCTGTGGCAAACTGGCTTACGTCCTGCAGTGGTTTAGCTGGGGTTTATGCTAGTAGAAACTTGTTTTCAGTTTTTTTGAGGAATCTCCTCATGGATTTCCATCTCACACAGGTCTGCAATCCCCCTAGGAAAAAGGGGGAATTGCCTGAATTATTGTTATTTTTGTCGTTTTTCCTTGACGATACCCATTCTGACTGAACTGACGTGAATGAGATTGGATGCTCTTTCAGAGTCTTCACCTGAGCAGAATGCCCCACACAGTCTGGTCCTGGCACTCTCTTCCTGAAGGAGCTGGCCGGGTTGCTTGGGTAAGTTAGGGGAGGCCAAAGAGGGATACCAGGTGGCTCTGCACCCTGGTGGTAACAGACATCCCCTGGAGCTAGAGTTTCAAGCCATTGTTAGCTGCCTGATGTGGGTGCTGGGATCTTACAGTACAGGGAGAGCTCACAACCAGGACCTTGCCTGCCCCCTGAAGTGTGTCTGTAAACGGAACAGTATACGTATTTCAATCATATAGGTAGGGAATGAGACACCAAGAGGGGAGGGGCTTGACACATGGTAGCTTCATGTGGACTCCAGTGTTTCACTACCCCCCAAACAGTCAAGATGACAATAAGCCATTGGACCAGCTCTGTAGCCTCCAAGCCTTCTAAAGCTGAGCAAGGCCCTTCCCAGACTGCCCTCTGAGTCTTTCTTAGTGTACCCATAAGCCTGGCCCCTCCAGTGGTGCCCACCCCCCTGTGTTCAGCAGCATGTACCAGTCTTCCCCACTTCCTGTCTTAGACAGAGGTCAGCCAGTTGGTCTGTATGCTGCAGCTGGACCACAGCTGTGGTCTCCGTGCCCTAGAAACTGAAGATAGGACACTGTCTGTGTGAGGTAGGATCCTCCCAGATGAGGGCCATGTAAAGGGGGTGTGTTTTGTTTTGAGATGAGGTCTCACCATGCTCCCTAGACTGACCTCCAACTGCTCGGGTCAGCATCCATTTAGCTAGGACTACAGGCATGTGCCATAACACCAGGTAGGGTGGAGAGGTTGTATGTAGTGAGGGGAGGCTGCTCTGTAGGAATTAACAATTACTTTCCAGCTCTAACTGTGCATAATGGTGTCTGCCTGTAATTCCAGCCCTCAGAGTGCTGATGCAGGAGAATGGTGAGATCCAGGTAAGCCTGGGCTACATAGGGAGACGATATGTCAACAAGCAAAACAAGCTGAGCTGAGCGTAGTGGTGAGTGCCTGTAATCTCCACGCTGGGAGGTAGAAGAAGTAGAGAGATCAGGAGTTCAAGGCCAGCCTCAGCTACATAGCAATTTCCAGACCTGCCTGGGCTACTTGAGACCCTGACTCAAAAGAACAGTGAATATGGGTAGGAGAGTATGGCTGAGTGAGAAAAGGTGCTTGCTTTGAATCCTGACAATCTGAGTACATCTATGGAAAAGTAGAAGATGAGAACCCAGCTCACAAAGTGGTCCTCTGACCTCCATATGCACAGTGAGACATCTGTATCCTCCCACTTTTGTGTGTAGCATATACAATAAATAAATAAATAAATAAATAAATAAACCCACCAAAAGACCACCACCCCAAAACCCTTCCTTGATGCTCACCAAGTCCAGATGTGAAGTCACATACCTATACTAATTCCAGCAATTGGAAGGCTGAGGCAGGAGGATCCCAAATTGGAAGCCAGCCTGAATATACAGTAGGACTTTGTCTTAAAAGAAGCCAGCACAAGATATGTGTCTTTCTTGGTAAAGTGTTTATTTGGCAACCATAGAGCCCTGGATTGCGTCTCCAGCACGTAAGCTGTTTGTGGCGGTGCACACCTAAAATTCTAGTCCTAGTTGCTGTTTTTCATTTTCTTTTGTTTTTATTTTTGTTTCTGTTTTGTCTTTTGAGACAGGATTTCTCTGCGTAGCCCTGACTGTCCTGGAACTTGCTCGGTAGACCAGGTTAGCCTCAAACCCACAAAGATCCACCTGCCTCTGCCTCCTGAGTGCTGGACTTGAAGGTGTGTGCTGTTACCAATACTACCACCTGGCCTGTATTTCTCTAATAATATATAATGTCAAATAAATTTTTATGTTTTTATCATGTATATATCTTCTTTGGTGAGATGTCTGAGTCTCATGTTTAGTGGTTCATTATCTTATGAATTGGTTTTGAGAGTTTTTGTATAATTTAAAGAATCGTGTGTGTGTTCATAGCAGCATTATCTGTAATAGCCAGAACCTGGAAACAACCTAGATGTCCTTCAATGGAAGATTGGATGAAGAAAGTGTGGAATATATACACATTAGAGTACTACTCAGCGGTAAAAAAACAATGACATCTTGAATTTTGCATGCAAATGGATGGAAATAGAAAACACTATCCTGAGTGAGGTTAACCCAGACCCAAAAAGATGAACATGGGATGTACTCACTCATAATTGGTTTCTAGCCATAAATAAAGGACATTGAGTCTATAATTTGTGATCCTAAAGAAGCTAAATAAGAAGGTGAACCCAAAGAAAAACATATAGTTGTCCTCCTGGATATGGGAAGTAGACAAGATTGCCAGGCAAAAAATTGGGATCTTGGGGCTGGAGAGATGGCTCAGATGTTAAGAGCATTGCCTGCTCTACCAAAGGTCCTGAGTTCAATTCCCAGCAACCACATGGTGGCTCACAACCATCTGTAATGGGGTCTGGTGCCCTCTTCTGGCCTGCAGACATACACACAGACAAAATATTGTATACATAATAAATAAATAAATTAAAAAAATTGGGATCTTGGGGGTGGGGTGGGATGGGGGTAAGGGGAGATGGGGAGAGAAAAGTGAGAAGGGGAGGATGGGGGAACTTGGGGAAATGGGATGGTTGGGATAAAGAAAGGGTGGATATGGGAGCAGGGAAGCATATATCTTAATTAAGGGAGCCATATTAGGGTTGGCAAGAGACTTCAACCTAGAGGGGCTCCCAGGTGCCCAGGGCGATGTCCCCAGTTAGTTCCTTGGGCAGCTGAGGATAGGGAACCTGAAATGGCCCTATCCTATAGCCATACTGATGAATATCTTGCATATCACCATAGAACCTTCATCTGGCGATGGATGGAGATAGAGATAGAGACAGAGACCCACACTGGAACACCGGAATGAGCTCCCAAGGTCCCAATAAGGAGCAGAAGGAGGGAGAAGCCCTCCTTGGCTGATGAGAAGCCAAGGACAATGGCACTGGGTTTTGATCCTACTGCATGCACTGGCTTTGTGGGAGCCTAGCCAGTTTGGATGCTCACCTTCGTAGACCTGGATGGAGTGGGGAGGACCTTGGACTTTCCACATGGCAGGGAACCCTGACTGCAAGGAAGTCAGGACCGTGAGGGGTGCACCCACCCACTGAGACAGTGGGGCTGATCTATTGGGAGCTCACCAAGGCCAGCTAGACTGTGACTGAAAAAGCATGGGATAAAACCGGGCTCTCTGAACATGGCGGACAATGGCACTGGATTTTGATCCTACTG